AACAATGCAGTTGCATTTTTTAATTTAGAATTCATACAATTTCCGAATGCGGGATTTCGCTGTAACATTCTACTTTGCGCCTCGGTCTGGCGCTGTTTGAGCTGTAGAACATCTCAATGAAGCTTTCCGCTTTACCTTTTGTACGAAAAACTGCGATCTCCGTACGGATTTTGCAACATAACGCGACAAAATCTTCGGATCTCGCGAAAACGCACTGAGGACCTTCCGAGCACTCTTTTTATCACTTTGACCATGCTAACCCCCGCTCCCTGGTTTTCTCGTAACTGTCAGGCCTTATTTGTACCGATTAAAACCCTGCAAACTGTCGAATAGTGCACTCTTTAATTTTTTAGCAATTTTACGTGTACTTAAGGCCGGATCATTTATAAACTCGTGCGAAATGGTTTGTCTCGTTTCTAGCTCGGTTGCCATTTTTAACTCAACTAGGAATCAAATTCAAATGAAATTTCTTCTACGTTCAACTAAGGTCATGGTCAACTTATGGTATTTGAATTTCAAAATATTGAATTCGTTTTGGGTAAGTTATAAGCTTCCCAAAGTGTCGCAGTTTTGGTGTGTTCACCCTTTACCCGTTTTCCTACTAAGGTGTGCGGCAGAAACATTCTTCTAGTAAAGTGCCCAGAATGGTTGTGAAACGAATTCTTTTTTGGTTGGTTTTCTGAAATTTTTCATTCTGAACTTCACATATGCCTTTTCACAGTTAATTATATACCTTGTTTATACCTACGCAAGAACCGCATTAACAAAAAACCAATTTGACTCAACACATATTTCTTTCGATTGTTTATACCTGTGTCTTTACAGCGCACTCGCTGAAACCGTATTCAAAAGTATAAAAAATTTGTTGTTTTATTTCGATATTTCTCTAATAATTTATTTGCGCGATTAACCGAAATGAAAGCGAACAATAATTCAAATTTATTTTAATAATAATTCAAATTTAAAGCGGGCTGCATAAAGTAAACCAGTCTATTTTCACTTCGCGTTAAAATCGTGATGTGTTTATACCTGTTTTCTAACCGATGTGAGTAATAAAAAAGCGATTTGAAATCAATTTCGAGTCAACCCACTTTTGAAATTCAGAGCGTATTGAAATTTAGTTTATGCATCCGTTTTGAATCACGGCGAAGTGGATCAAAGCGCTTTATGCGTCGGCATAAACAAGATAATATTCAGCAATGTATTATATTTTTATAAATCCTTTTTAATATGTTCGTCTGCCGGCATACGAACCTGGGACCTCATGAAAGCTTACAAATAGTTGCACGCTCCTCTGCACACTCAGCTACTGTCGAATACGTATATGTACATATGTACATGTTTTCAAATGTTCAGTTTGAACAAATATTTTGAAATTAAGGTATCCACACACCTACGCGATTCTGTCGCAACGAATCCGCACCGTTTTTGATGCTAAAGACGTTACTGCTTCAAAAACGCAAGTACGCACACATCTGTGCGATTTTATCGCAGTAAAAACTGTCAATTTATAGACAAACAAAAAATATTTTTCAACAAAAATAAAATTGTTAACTTTTCTACATCAAATATGTTTTGTTTTCCTTCGTTCAATTTTGTTTTAATATTGTAAAATCCTTCTATTGACCTTTTTCGTTCTCAAAACGCGGCAGTCTGCGATTTCGGCACGACGAAAAGGAGAACTGTACATGTTCGAATAAATCGCTGCAGCAAAATCGTACAAGTGTGTGGTTCCTCATTTAAAGCTATGGTCGGAATTGTTGTAATTTTTGTCGGAACAGATTCGCACCGACAGAATCGCATAGGTGTGTGGATACCTTTATTGTTTTCAAATAACATGATTTTTTTGGAAAGTACAAAGCTTCAGAAGCACGAACAATTTAACAAAATGGCAATACCGCTCAACAAATTTTTTATATATTTGTCACTGGCATTTGTCGTCAAGTGGCAAATCAGACCTTTTTTTTGATTTGCCACAAGAAGACAAATATTTGTCTTTTGTGATAAATGACAATTTAAATTTAGCGTTCACATGATTTGTCTTTGCATTTGACAAATTTTAAGCCAAATATAGAAATCGTGTGATCCCTGCTTTAGAAATATACGTTCTCAATTTGAAGCAAATCGGATTATAAATTCGGGGATTTCAATTATCTCGACTCTTTCGCCACCTGTCTGATTAATTCAACTTTCGTATTGCATTGCCATTGGGTTCTGAGGTCAAAAAGTGATTACAAGATTTGCCCCAAACAAACATACTTACAAACATACTACTTACAGAGTAAGTTAAATAAAAGCTTGTCAAATATAGTTCTTTTCAGTGTGCCACCAGGCAATATCTTTTGCTGTTGTATAAGATCCGACAACATAGCTATAATTCACAATTGTTGACATTCCATTCTGGAGTAAACTGTCCCACCATTCAAAATAGAATGGCCCTTTAAAGAAAGCAATTTTAATTTTGTGGTACTTTCATCTCTTTTTTGCTTCATCACTGTCGGTTTCCTTGCCTTGCCTGCTTCGGCCACCGACATATCACCACGAACTAATAGGGAAGCTTGTATAGTGACCTGATGCCGCTGTATCAGCCTCGCTCGCTGGGTAAGCGTGATACTAGCCACTCTGGTTTCCATGCGAGATCACCGCACCGACGTCCTTATCCCTAATCCCTCCCCATCCGAACTTCCCTCCTCCCGCCATATAATCCTGACTGGGGAGTCATTAAATCCCCCCCCTAATCCGAGAATGCCCGTGTCTATCGGACAGGTTTGCAGTAGGGGGTACTCAGACTGTTTTCTAGCGGTGCATCTCTCTGAGACCTGCCCGCCTCAGGGAGTAACGGTGGGCTTACAGTATTATTGGGGGCTATGACACGATGGACAGTTTTGACCCCTTCACTCGTGGGAACTACATGGAGAATAATAACAATAAAAACAAACAAAACAAAAACAAACCAAAGCAAAATCCAAATCAAAACCAGCAAAAACCACTATAGTACCATTCGCAAGGAAATAAGAACTTGATAGTCTAAAGGCGATAAGGCTAGATGGAAATAACATTATGTACCAAAAAGAGGTTAAATTCCTAAGAGTAGTACTAGACCAAAAACTACTCTGGAAAGCTCACGTGGAAGAAACTGTGAATAAAGCTGTAAGATCATTTATGACGTGTAGGTCCATGGCAGGAAAGAGTTGGGACTGCACACCAAAGATACCGAGATAGATCCACGCGACAATAGTACGACCCATGATAGCTTGGGCCGATAGAACTTCACGACATGGAGCACCCAAAGTGATCTCCAAGATACAAAGGCTGGCATACGTATGCATAACGGGAGCCATGAGAACCTGTCCAACCGCATCCTTGGAGGTTCTTTTAGATCTTGTCTCTCTTCATATTCACATACAGACTCAGGCGAAAAGAGCTTTACTACGGATGATTGGTACCAATATCGGGGCAGCAGGGTATCTTAATCGTGGGAAGTTGGATATTCTTACGAATAAGTTCCCTGAAATTGTAATACCGAGGGATACCTTGCATCCGAGGTTCAGCTTTACATAGAAGTTTAAAACTGAAAGTTACAATTGATCTGAGTAATAAGAAGAGCTGGGCAGGCATATCCGAGACATATCGGATAAAGTAAAACATGATTACCTGGTACACTAATGGCTCATGGACCGACGAGGGTACCGGGGTAGGGGTAGTTAGGACCTAGGTTAAGATACTCGGAACCCATGGGAAAACATATGTCTATTTTCCAGGCTGAAACATACGCCATAGAAAGATACGCGGACTTTAATGACTGATAGCCAAGCGGCTATCAAAGCTCTCAGATCTCACCAGGTAACATCTAAACTGCTGTAGTGTGCCCGACCCACACTTAGCACAAACGGTTCATATTGCTGGGTCGGCGTGTTTGTTGTGACCTTCCTGTGTGCCATACTTACCAGCGCACTTGATGCCACATGCGATGGAGTGCCTCGACAAGCTGAATACTCTTGCTCTGACCAATCAGGTTTGGGTTCTCTGGATTCCGGGAGATATTGGTATTAAAGGAAACGAGATTGCCGATAAACTAGTGAAGAGAGGTGCATCAACCCCTTTCACCGGCCCAAAGCCATTCTGCGGCTTGGGAAAAGGGGAACTATCTGAGCTTGTTCGGCTAGAGGAAGAGGCTCAGAGAAATCGCTACAGGGATAATCTACCAGGTATAGAGCACTCCAAAGCACTTGTAGGAACATATAACCTAAAACGCTTCAAGGAATGTATGAGCTTATCAAAGAATAACTTAAGAATTGTTACAGGAATCTTGACAGGACACTGCAGGCTGAACTATCCCCTGATTAAACTGGGAGTTTACTCGCATAAGCGATGCAGATTTTGCAGGACGGAAAACGAGACTGCACAGCACATCTTAGAAGAATGTCCTGCACAGATGCATAAACGCAAAAGACACCTGGGTGAACAGCTGATAACCAAAGGCGAAGTAAAATCCGTAGATTTAGGTTCCATACTAAAGTGTCTCTCGGATACTGGATTAATAGACACACTATAATCCATGAAGGGGGCGCAATAGATCTTAATGTCGCAGTGCTCTATCCCAACAATAATAATAATAATCTCTTTTTCGGCACTATCTTTGAAGTCCGTTAGGCATATTTTGGAATTTTGAAATTCCATTCTTTATCTAGCTTTTGACGCTTTTGCGACACGCCTTAACCGACTCCAATTCGAACCAAAATTTATATGTGATATCTTCGACTATGGTAGTATCGATTTTAGGTATTAGATAAAAAAAAATGTTTGAGCCTCTATAGAGGAATCTGAACATTGCCCCCTGTGCGACACGCCTCAACCATCCCCAACCGGGGCGAAAGTTTATTTTTTGTGATATCTGTGCATTTGATTTTTTTAAGGACCACGCTTATTTTCATACATTATCAGTTTGGGACTTCTCTTGTCCATTTGGCTGTAAATTAATGAGAATTCAGATTTCTCACCTCCTTGCTATAGTAATGACATCGACCGTTTAGTCGTGTTGAGGGAATGTATTCAATAAAGTCTATGTAAGGACAATATGGCATCAGCAAGGCGAGACCTGTGTTGCACAAAAATTAGTACGTTAAGAAATTTCGTTTACTTGTACATATTTGGATATATCTTACCAATGAAGCCAGAACTTGGTGGATTTTTGCGGATAGGGCGGCTTCCGACAAATATTTGCAAGCTTTGCCAAAGTCGCCACACTGATTGTGGATCAATGAGGAATGCTCGTGATTTCGGGTATTTGCGACGGTATATCTTGTAGTTTGTAAATAAATCGTAGTCCGCCGTCGTAGTCCATTCGCTAAGGGAAGAGTTATACTTTCCTGGATCCCAGGCCGCAATCGTAACGTTTTGAAATATTGCTGCACGAGTAAAATTAAAGTGCGGCTTGGTAACGACCTGAAAAACTATCTGTTGAGTACAGCGCTATAAATAATAGGTTTGTAGAAAGATGTACATGCATATATACATAAATACACTTAGTATGGAAATTAAAAAAAAATTCCACAACAAACTTTATGTTCATAATTAAAAAAAAAATTCAAGTATGCAGTTTTGTAGCATTTTAACTTGCAAGTTTCAATAGGCTAAGAGTTCGCGTTGATTTTTTGGTTATTTTTTTGCCGACTGTGTTATTACTTTCTTCCATATAAAACAAACTGTCGAACATAGTAGGTTCGTTCAATAAAAGCTCGTGGGTGCCCAAAACAGCATTGTTTAGATCTCATTTGCTTATTCCGGGCACGAAATGTGGTTTTTTGTGTTCCTCACGATCTGGGCACTTTTGGAACGTTTTGACACTTGTGAGAGAGTAACTTATGTATGTTTACGCTCTAATTACCGGAGCAACCCGGAAAGCGTGTGGAACAAAGCTAGTATCTTTGCATCGAAGAAAATGCGTGAAGTCGTCCGCAAGAAAAAATCAAAGATCAACGGTATTCAAACTTCAAACTAGAATATTGTTGTGCAGCTTTTTTTGAATTTTTCTAATTTTTGTACAAAGTGAGAAATTTTGATTTACATACATGCTTTTGTTAGACATATCATTTTGTCTCGGGGTATACATACAATAAAGGAATACCTGGTATTATGTGAACCATACCAGGAGTTCCTTTAATTTACTGCAAAACTGTTTCTGTAATATACTGTATAAAATGCTTTTATTTTTTAATGGAGATAATGAGAAACGGAATTTTTCGGCAGTAATATACACGGTTGCATTAGCGCACACAAGGGGTGAGTTTTGGGGTTTAAACCCCCCCTAAAGCTAATAACCTCAAATACGAACTGTATCTTAAAGTTTAGAATCCAGCTCTCATGAAAAATCACAAGAAATATTTATTATTATTTCTGTTGCTTGAAAAAGAACTTTCCTTTTGCTGTAAATTTTTTTGAAGAAATAAGTAAACGAGCATTTTTCTTGAGAGCTGCAAACTCATTTTAATAAAGGATTTAAGAAATTTCTTGTGCGTCATTTTATGTATATGAATTTTTCGCTTTTCTTGACAGCTATTAAAAGTTTAAAAAGCACCTTCTCCATCGAAAACCTGCAGCAGGATTCCAGCATTAACTATAGCTGATTTTGATCGCCAAAAATCTCCAAAGCCAGACTTGGCCGATTAGTTACACATTACAGTTATTACTTTTCGATTCAGTATACTTTTAGGCCCACCGCTTTTAATTTAGAGAATTTTGGCGACGAAAATTTAGCGTAGCGACCAGAAATCGAGGAAAATTATCATTAAAACTCTTTTTTTTTTTTAATTTGCATCTTGTGTTTATAGAACTTTTTATTAAATAAGTAATTTTTAAGCAAAAAACATAACCAACTTCAATTCTCATATATAAATTTAGGAATACCGTTAATTTGTTCATGATCCAGTGATCGGATCTAAAAGAAATTGTTATTATTTTCGGGTTTTTTAGTGGCAAAAGTTATCAAAAGTAAAACAAAGGTGTTAAAATATACAAAGTTTATATATGTATATACATCGGTGTATACTTGTGCGAATTGTGCGTTTTCTTTTTTTTACGGATCTGTGGCACTGGTGATCACTAAGCTGCAATAAAGTGTCAAATTTGGAACGGGAGGTAAGTACCACTTAATGCCATAATTCAAATCTGCATATA